CACACACACAACACACGAGAGCAGCAGCTGCCTTACTCAGCTCTGGCCGGGGGGGTTGCCGGGAGCCTCAGCCTCAGCCTTTTAGGGTCCCAGTGAGGACCCTGGCCGGGTCCACCTCCCACCATGAGCCCCGGGTATGACTTGGAAGGAGGCAGCTGGGAGGCGGGACAAGGACGTACTCGGGCTGGGTCAGATGGCAAGCAGGTCCTAGGGCTCATCCTCAGGCCCCGGCTGTGCCACAGGCTCCTGTGCAGGCCAGGTGGGCAGACCCACGTGAACACACATCCCAGAGCCGGCTCAGAGACCAGGGCTCCGCTCCCAGGCAGGCAGCAGGCGTTCGGACAGGACTGCCTCTTTGTGGGCACGACACGGAGGGAAGGAAGGCCACTAGGGCTCCTGCTTCTCCCTGGGGCTTCCGGCCTGACTGCCATGCAGAGCATTTGAGGTCCTGCTTCCTGGCATGTGGTCAGTTTGGCTTAAATAAACTAAAAAATTCTTGTAAAAAATAGAGTGCCATGGCGACAGCAGCCGCCCAAGGGTGGACTGGGCCGGTGCGAGGAGGGCGCCCGGCCCACCGCGCTCAGGGCAGGGAGCAGCAGAGGCAGCAGTGTGCGTGTTGGCAGGAGGGGCCCCGGGCATGCAGGGGTTCTTAGTAAGTGGAAGTGGAGTGTCGTGAGGGCGGGGAAAGGAGTTTCGGGTTGCAGTCAGGTGAGAACAGAGTGTACCCCACACCAAGCACGCATGCTGAAGCGGCGCAGTGAGCACCAAGAATCTCGGCTCTGGACGTGGCCCAGGCAGCAGGGCACGCAGGCAGCACTCGGAATGCAGGGAGAGCACTTCGGCCTCTGACGGCCCAGAGCAGGCCCGGGCGGGCAGAGGGTCAACGTCTCGGGGAAGAGCCACGGCTCAAGTGTAGGAGAGCAAGTTCAGGTCGTAGCAGCCATCCACCTGCAACACAGACGGCCATCAGATCGGACCCTGGCCGGCTCCGGGCCCCGGGGGCCAGGCAGAGGGCAGCGCGGTCACTCACATCGAAGCGGCCGATCCTCCTGGAGGTGCGACTGGCCCGGACCATCTCTGTCAGCGCCCACATCTGCTGCACCTCCGAGGACACCCTGCTGGGGTCCGGCAGGCCCTGCTCCGGAAGGGGGGTCAGTGGCTGGGGGTCTCCCCCAGCAGTGCCTTCGAGCCCCGGAGAGGCCAGGCTGGGCAATGGGGCCCTCCAGCGGAGAGTCACCTTCCCAGCCGGCTTGTGAAATATGAGGTTGGGGCCTGACGTGCAACCCCACAGGGAGAGACCTCAAATCCCATGGAGCCCCAGGAGGAAGGTCGGGAAGGTGGCACAGAGTGACCGGGGCCCCAGGTCCAGCCCCAGGTTCCTGCAGGGCGGGCCCACCGGGACATGAGAGCTACTCACACGTGGCTCTTACCCGGGGTGAGGGCTTACCTCCAGGAGGGGAGCGGGCTGCTCACAGGGCACTGGGTGGGACAGCCACTTGGGAAAGGTCACGGAGGGGCTCTGCAAGGCAAAGAGGGTGGAAGAGGGGGAGAGTCCTGGGACCAGTTCCCAAGGTCCTGGGAGCCTTGAACACTGAGCAAACCCTGCTCGGGGTCCACAAAGGCCCAAAGGGCAGTCAGACTCCCTGAGATCTTCTGAAGGAGGCCCCAGCAACACAAGGAACAGAAGTGTCTCCGGCTCTGAAAGAGATGGCTGGCCCCAAAGATCAGGGGGTTTGGGGGCATAGCGTCCCTCTCATGAGCTTCCAACGTTCCCACCTGGCTAACTTCCATGAAGGCCTCCCTCCGGGTCTCATTATCTTGACCCCCCACCCCCACCTCACCCCCGGCTCTGCCAGCCACACTAGGGCCTCCTTGGCAAAGGGCCGGCCACCAGCTGAGTCGCTTACCTTTGCTCCCTGCTGGTAGACCTGCAGCTCCTCCACTGTGAACGACAGCCACAGGGGCGACGGCTGCCGCAGAATCAGGCGCAGCTCCAGCACTCTAGCCACGTCACACAGCATCTGACACACACACAAGGCCCCCGCGAGCCCCAGCTCACTACCCGGGAGCCTCCCAACGGGCAGGGAGCCAAGCTGCTGCCCCCCAGGCCTTTGGGAAAGAAAGAACAGTGGTCCCTCCAAGGCACTTCCCAAAGAGCCACAGCCCAGGACAGCCCTGCCTCCCCGCCCCCTTTAGTATCCTAGCCCAGTTCTCAGGCCCCCAGCGAGCCCTCGTCTGGGCTGCCCTGGCCATGCCCTGTCCCAGCTGACCTGGTGCTTGGACAGCGATACATACTCCTGAGCTCCCTCCTCGCTGTGGGGGTCAGGCATCAGGCAGTAGTCCCGCAGGCAGGTCACCCACTTGGCCTGTGTGTGTATCGAGCTGTATTGGCGGACACGGATGCTCAGAAAGGCTGTGTAGTAATTCTTAAACGTAATCTCCTGCAACTGCAACACACACACCACCGACCGTTACAAAGCAGGCACAGGCCCAAGGCCTCAGAGAGTCTCAGAGGCACCACCGCCTCCTCCCCTTGGGAATGTACTCCGCTTCCAATCTGATAAGCACCCGTTGAGGCTCAGTTTCACAGCCTAAATGCGGAGGTCACATAAACCACAACCGCAGATCTTGCCACACCCAGGATGCTGCCAGGGGTCGGAGCCCTAACTCTGGAGGAGGCACAACATGTACACGTGAGGCCTGAAGGGGAGGAGTTCACCCAGAAAGGCAGAGGATGTAAACAAGTAGGATGTCTGGCTGCAGCAGTTCTCATCACTAGACACTCATCAGAATCACCCCA